AAGGCTTGAGCAGTAGCATCCAAACCCTTATCCACCCTGCTCGATGCAGCAGATAGGGCACCGTTGATTATCCTCTGCGGTGGCCAGAGCATCAAGAAATTGTTGGAGGAAAGATTCATTCTATTGCGTGGGCAGAATACTGTCAGACTGCCCAGGCCTAGACAGGAGAACGATTAGGGTTCTCAACCAAAGTCTTTGGTTAAAAAACCTGACCGCAAGGCAGCGGGTTCAGTATTGGGCTACAAGGAGCCCGTTTTAAGGAATAAGGTGCCACCCTCATTCCAACCGCCAACCTGGAGGACCAGGAGATTGAGTTTGTCTGGCCTCTAACCATTGACCAATCTGGTATGAGTGCCTCTAAAGGTGCAAAAGCACCACCCAGCATAGCTCAATGAATCGCTTAGGCACACAAACCATCGCACCACGTTAAGGTCCAGCCTCATTGCGAAAGTTCTTCCCCAAGGTTGGCCAGAATCCAGTCTTGGTGGTGATCAGCTAGAAGTCGTTCAGAAATTCAAGTACCTGGGCAGGTATATTAGCACCCGTGGGATTGAAGATGAGGTTACGGACCGTATAGCAAAAGCTCGAGGTGCTTTTGCCAATCTCCGCCTGCCAGCACACTGACTCCCGCGTAGTGTTGTTTGCGCGCCGGGGGTGTGGATGGAAGAAGATGAGGGGAGGTCAAGAGAAATGAAATCGTTCACTTTGAACTTGGCGTTGGTTGGTGTGTCCCGACCGTCGGGTTGGGTCCGGAGGAGGATGAACACGTTGGGCTGGACACACTAGCTTCACAGACAGCAATGATCAAACACTTGAAGATGCCGAAGATCCTGAGACTGAAGGAACCAAGTCTCGCTCCTATAGAGTAAGACGGCATTCACTGTGGTCTAGTACACCCGGTCTTTCGGGCCAAAGGAAGCACGTTCTGACATCATATATGTCGCAGATTCAAGAAGGCAAGTCTAGCTTTTGCAATACGTGAGCTGAATTCAATGGTTAGGTGCCGATCGTTGCTGATGCAACTGCTAAGGCAAGTGAATCGATCCACGACTTTCTTGTCATCGAGAGTCAAAAGGTCAATAAGTGGCTAGTGGTCTTGTAACAACACACTGCAGTTGAAAGCGCATGCCAAATGATGGGAACGGCATCAGCAGTAGACTAGTATGCAATGCCGACGCTTCGCTGTAGCGCAAACACCCCAAGTCGGGCGTGGGCTAATGTTACTGCGAGGGTGGCCCAATCCATACGCAGGCTGAAAACCTGGACATTACGTTACAAGACTGGCTTGTAAATCATAAGGCTACGGGCCGGCGCTAAATGATGGGACCACTCTACAGAGGTGATTGAATGTTGAATGGGCCACCCCAACATCTTTAAAAGCAAGACAATACGTCCTCATAATTAAGATCAACTCGCTTTCATCAGGTAGCATTTCAACGCATGCATCGTGAGATCCCATAAGGGAACACTCCATGATGGAATCCACGCCAAGTTGCCGGCCCATAGTCTTAAGGATCCCAAGCCTGTCTTGCAATCCTGATGTCGCGTGCTTGAGCTTCCGTAGGGAACCGAGCGACGCTCTCAGTATTCTTAGCCCACGTGCGACTTGTGGTAGTTGCACGGCAGCGAAACGTCGATACTGCGTACCGGCGTAATGCTAACGCCTTTACCTTTATGACCGAAAATGGAGAGATCTGACATTCCTGATGAACGCGACTTGTTGTCGTGAAAATATCTGACAAGTCACCGTAGCCACTGATGCGGCCTGGGGTGTGCGAGTAAGGAGCATGTAAATATTCACATATTCAATGGAAACAGGTTGCTGCACAAGTATTTCGAACAGACTGTATCGATCGATCGAGTCGAATGCACTATTGTAGCCGAAGAATAGAGCGATTGTCGGTATGAGTGGCGCTGCTATAGCACCTGCTGCAAAGTGAATATGCTACATACTGCTCTGTCCTGGACGGAAACTTGCTTGCACTCCTCTATTCCAGGATTTGCGCCCCGCAGTGAGGCGGCGAGCGAGAATTAAGGTTAGTAATTTTGTCACCTCTGGCGTTATGTCAATATCCCCGTGGTTAGCAGTCTGTGCGACTGCTCTTCTTGTATATTGCCCCTATAATCAATTAATTCCAGTTAGTTGGGACAGTTTCTTCCTTTCAGACCTAGACTGAAGGGGAGGTCAGTGCTTTGCAGAGGACCTCACCACCATCCGTGAATAGTGCAGGTGCGAAGGAAGCCGGGTCAACAGCTCGAAAACGATTAACGACTGTGATCGCGTTTCGGACCTCAGCTTCCGATGGAACCTCTAAACTAACCGTCCATGGCTCAGCCTCTATCACCTTGATTGGAAATGGTCTGGAAGTAGAGTGCCAACTTAACTGATTTTGAAACTGCTCCGCCAAACTAGCCACACAGCACTCCTTGTCTTAAATCACGGCACTCGCGCTGTCTCGGATTGTCTCATTGACGCCTGGTTTTCTGCGACCAGTGGTGCGGATTAGCCGGATCAGCTTGCGATGATTGTCTACTGCTCTTGCCTCCTCCATTTCTTGACCCCGATTGGTCCACCAGGCATCATTGTCAACGCGCAGGCTTCGCCTTGGTTAGAGCCTAATAGTCCGTCTGGTCACATTGTGCATAGAGTCAGTCGGGAGTTTTCTTCGGGAATCCCCCAGGTTCACTGAGTTCTCGGATATCCAGTGACTGCTGCGTTGACAATAGTGCTAAAAGCAGAGATCATATTCCACTGAAGCTGAGTCATTAGGACCAGAGAGCGAAAGTTTGGTACGCAGGGCATCCTGGTAGGCGTGCCAGACCAGATAATTTCTCAGTTGCCAATCTGGGGTGACGCTTGGTGCGCCTCCCGGTAAAGATCAGGGAGAAACGACAGCGTACCAAGGCATGATCGCGGTCTACGAAGGTATTCCAGAACAAGCGACAGTCCAGAACGGACCACGCCACCTGTACCTTACGTCAATGTGATCTAGTTGGGTACATCGCTGGCCAGCTACAGGAGGACGCCAAGTGGCACTTCGGAGCCCACTGTATCTGAAAGCGGTGATAATAAGAAACAGTCGGTGCTCCTCACACAGTTGCAAAAGACGACCGCCGCCGTCCGTCCAGAGTTAAGCCCATACATAACACCTAGCTGAGCTACTGAAGAGTCCAGGCGATTTACCTGCGCATTCATATCCCCTGCAAGTACTATGATATCTGTACTGGTAGCACTATGTACTAGCGTGCTCAGTTTGTAGTGGAAGGAGTCCTTTGCAACGTCAGAATTGCAATGGGTGGGTGCATAAGCGGAAACCACAAACAAACAGCGTCCAGCGCTACTTCGTGAATCAACCTTAGTCGAGGTCGTCAAACGGGCTGCACATAAACGGCTATTTACCGGAATCCAGTCAACCAACAATGACTCAGCCTTGGAGCTGAGAACCATACTTACCCCAGCTTGACATGTGAGTGCTGCATCAGCGTCTCCGGACGCGTGCAACCAATAGCCAGATGACAAGCCGGGCGCAGTTAATTCAACAACCCCGTGAGGGTCATTGATCCTAGTTTTGAACAAAACACACGTCAAGACCCAGTGTGTCTAACGAGCGTGCGAGTGCAGCCAGTTGACCTATGTCTTAGAGTGCGAACGTTGAACACCGCCAGGGAAAGGGGACAGTGTGGACTTATAAGGAATTGTTGCCTATAGGCAGCCAGTGGGTGGTGCGGGAATGTAGCTGCAGATAATTCGACTCTCTTGGCATTACGGCTGCTGTCAATTAAGCTGAGAATTATAGAAGGTAGACTGGTAATGGGGATTGTGATGGGAACAGGCAAAAAAGGAACAAGGAAAGCGCTAGTAGTAGCACGTTTCCGCTTATCCACTCTGCTGTATGCAGCAGATAAGGCGACCCTTGATAATCTGCGCGACGGCCGATGCAGGATGTGGTTGAATTTTGGAAAAATAGTCATGGTTGTTCGTGAGCTGAGATACTGCCAGGGCGCCCAGACCTAGGACAGGAGGACGAGTAGGGTCTTCAATCAAAGTTTTGGCTCAGAAGCCTGTCCGCAAGGCAGCGGAGTGGTGGCAACGATTTGGTTTTACAGAAATTGACGCCATCCCATTTCCAACCTAAACCTGGAAAAGCATGAGATTGAGTTCCTCTGACCTTCAGCCATTGACTAAGCTGGTGAAAGTAGCTCTCAGGGGGCCCGAGGGCACCACCCAGAATATCTCAACGGCTCGAAGAGGTACGCAAACCGTTCGTTGCGACGGTAAGTGCTAACCGGTGTAGCTTAATGGATCACGGAGGCAAAGAATCCATCACGCCCAACTACAATGGAGTTCTATCGCTGTATCATGAACGAAATAGTAAGCTAAACAGGAAAGCACTGTCGCTCGAATCCAACGACTGAAATTGCAGCTGAACGATCGCAAAAATATAGGCAAGATAAAGTGCAGGCTATGTACAGTGAGAAACGGGTGAAGGACTCAAATGAAGAACATTTCACTAAATTTAGGAACACTGTTCGTTTCATTGATGTGCAAAACCTAATAATCCAATGTAAGTAATGAAATAAAACGCAGAAAGTGGAATGCTAATTCCCACAAATGAAACAGCAATACTGTATGAAACATGAGAAAGAATTTGAAACACAGTCGAGCATGGCGTGGTATATGTAGACTACAAAAACATTCGGTACCCACTTTACCAGCACATACATGCTCTTCGGACAACAGTGTTGAAAGTAAGGAAATTCGGCGGGTAAAATACTGATCATGTTCGAAAACCTACGGATTCGGTCTGGGCTGGACTATTGTTTCTAAGGTACAGGCTTATTTAACAACCACACCGCAACACACAACCCAAACTTTTCGATTGTATATGCTAAATTGTGTTAGAAAGAATAAAACTAAGTGCTTTCCCGCAAAAAGGTACATAATAAAACAAAAATAAAGTAAACAATAAATGGACAGTGGGTGAAAAGTAAATGTGTACCTTCTGGCCAGGTATATACACTGCTAAGTTCGGATCCTTGGAGCAGGTACTCAGGGAAAAGTGGCGCATCCCTTTGACAACCAATCGCCCGGCTGGTTTCGAGTCTGTAGTCGAAAAGGAACAACGAAAAGTAATAAAGATGAAATGTTGCCCGCCAGTAGCATTGCAACTGCTTTCGTACTCGATTGAGCTGATCAGACAGAGATAGCAGGATTGTGACTCGAAGCCGGATCAATGGAATGTCAGCCGAAGTCTGTCTCTGAGCCCTCAAGTCGCGACAGGCAACCATTATTACAACGACTGATGGCTCGTTAAAAAAGGCATCAGCAGAACGCCGGTACTGTGTACCGGCGCTCCGCTGCATTGCAACCACCACCGATCGCACGTGGGCTAAAGATACTGCGAGGGTCGCCATAACCCTATGCAGGCTCGAACCCGCGCCGCCAGATTACATGACAAGCTCGCTACCTCTACGCTACGGGCCGGATGGCTCATTAGAGGGGACATTTCGAAACACTCATTGTGTGGGGATTCAAATCTCGTCTGCCTTGAACAGCATTACATAAACTGCACGGAGCAGAGTGCTTACCCGATTAGGAACAATTGAAAGAATCACAATGGTGCCAAGAATATGAAACAGTAATAGATGCGAAGGGCACTAATATACCTCAGAAGCGAAACAAAGTACACAGGACCGTCAAACTCGTCACTCAGTACCAAATAAAACGTACAACCAAGGCACTGATCGGGCCTGCATCAGTGACAAGCAAAAGAGCAACAAGTAACAAATCCATTCCAAACCAGTGGATAGGGTTAATTAAAAGGATGTTACTTCACTCAATCATATGCGTTTACAACCGAACTCGAGTTGTGTGCATGCTGCGGACACTGCGAGCTCGCCAGCGTCTAAACAGGCTCGAGTCTTTGGATTGCGAGTCATAAGCTTTTGTCTGCTCAGTCACTGGCTGCCTTCATATATGACAAATTTTGTAAAGCATCACCAGCCTAAACAGTACGTGCTGTTCGACGATGCGATCAACATCATAAATGATAAGTAAACCAATCGGAAACTTACATAAGTGTGAAAACTGGCATTATGTGCGCTTTAGCATGTAAAAATACTTCAAGCTTTGAAGACGCAAACTTCATATCAAAGCGTGTAGCACCACACGTCCGCCTGTTCAGCAACACCCACATAGTGACTGTGCCCAGTGCAGACAGAGAGCTATATCATCAGTGTAACCCCAGTTAGACAGTCGGTAACCGGATAAAAAAACTCCGATGTAGTAGTGGAAGAGATCAGTGCTGAGGACAGTCATTACCATTTCGAAGCCAAAGTTTAAAAGTTACGATACAGTAAAGTCGCGCAGGCGCACTATTAAAAATAAGGTATTGCAGTACACAAATACAATCGACTGATTTAAAGTTGCGCTTTGATTTAAAAAGATTCTCGTGATAGATTGCTTGAAACAGTGACGTTCCAGTACCTAATAAAAGGGAAAAGTGTGGTCAGTATACTCGCTGCTAGAGAGGAATTCAGCATAACTTTTGCTGATTCATTGCTCACGAAGACAAGCGAGCTACCGTAGCATGATAAGCGTGAGTAGCTTGAAGACAGTTGATATAAGACTAACAGCACACTGTTTGTTCACATCGCTTACGGTAACTAAACAGCGACATGGACGATCCGGAAGAGCGACAAACACCAAGTCTGATTTAGAGAGACGGTCGACAATAGCCAGTAAGAGAGTGCTTCTTCCTTATGTCATATAGTGTCGAATGGAGAAGCCAATGTTCCTCAGTAACGATGGTGAAACGCCGTCAAGTTTGCCCTTTGTTCACTTTCAGCAGTATCAAGTCGTGTCGGATTTCCTCGGTGGTGAGACTTGTCAGGCCAACGCTTTAGGAGAGTTCAGATGATACAGCTAGTGAAGATACAACTGGTCAGTAAAACTGCCCTTCAGGGTTAGACTCAGAGCTTTATTCGAAGTGGCCGAGTGAACCAGTCGTTCAACTTGCTCAGACATCATCCTTCTTACGATATCATTCTTGGGTTTATGCATCGAATGAGTTTAAACAGCTCAGAGATTTGAAAATAATCGATTAGTGTAGTTTTGGCAACGTTTCGCCTGGTAAACCAGTATACGAGTGGAGCGGCGTTTAATAGCAAACTATGACGATACTCGCAATAATAGGAACATGCGTCAAGGTGTTATTACACTCACAGGTCAGGATAAAATCTGAATTATTTTTAGACACAGCAGGAAGAGTTCATCTGCTCCCACGTGTAATCGCATTGACAAACAAGCCCTTGGATGTGTCGATGTGGAGGCGATTTTCGCTTTCCGAAAATCCGCGCATCGAGGATAGTCAGACTGGCTGGATTAGGATCGCCTGCCATGCACTCGAGAGTTCCACCCCTTCCATCCTGTTTACGCAACTGTCGGCATCAACCGCTGGGGCGTTGCTCGTATATCCATCTTAATGAAATAGGCCTTCGTTGTCGCCGTGGTGCTGGCCACAATCCCGCGGACTGTCACCATATACCAATGATTTCAGTCGATTCTCAGACTTCGGGCTAGATGATGTTTTCGAGATTTACGGATAGCCGATAGCATGGTTTAACGATTTTGTGCGCTTTAAACAGGTTACTCAGAGCTCCAGGAATCCAACCGCTTTCAAAGGAATCAAGCTGAGCGAACAAGCCGCATCCAGCGTTATTCGAAACATGTACCAGAGGCGGTTCCCAGTAATACAGGTTGGTTCAACTGATACATTGGCGACGGCTGACACTGCAATTCTGGTTGATACTACTGCTCCGTAGATTGCGAGTACAATTGCCGAAAAAGTAATTTTGAAATGGTATGTGTGAACATTAGACAAGCACGTACAACGGCGTGGTCAGAGTCGATACAATCGCTCCGAATCGCTTGACAATCTTGCACTGATGTGCACCATCTACATCCGATAGTGATGTGATCAGTTAGGGTCCAAAGTAGTCTATCGTTCAGCAGCTGCCATGTAATCCGATGTGAACGATTGTATAGGAAAGCAGCGCTTCCGATAATGAGCTTGTTTGTGGCGGACATTCAAACCACTTAGAGCCAGCAGGACGTACGTGCAATGACCCAACTACAGTCCTGTATCAATAAACATTCGTTAAAAACAAAATAGCATGAAAGCACAGTATATCATCCAACATACTAAGGACTGGTAACCAAAGGATCATCCCATAACACCAGGCACGAAGCTGTAGAGGTTGTCTAGGTGAACGCAGCTGTCAACCGATAAAGCGTATCTGAGATGAAACAACCGTAAGTCAATAAAAATGTGGCACAATAACCACCAGGACACGCCACCGTTGCATTAGACTCCAGATAGCTGATCATAGGTTTAGAGATAAGGCATTCTAGAGAATGTTCAAAAAGTTGCCTATTGGTAGCCGCGAGTTAGGGTAAATATCTTTTCTTACACCAGCACTGTGCTTCAAGTAATTCCTTATAAAGGTAGCTTGCAATCCCCTGGTTGCATGTCTAAGATCCAAGAACAGACCTGAGAAGCACTGGGTGGGGATGTGAAACGAAAGACAGACGGTTTCTGTTCATTTATAAACTAAAAAAGAAGAAGCTGAATTTATGATTATTCTAAGAAAGCAAAGAGTAGCTAACAATCAATATTGTTGCTTCAGACTGTTGAACGCATTGGGAGACGACTAAATTAAATGAAGCGTGTGAAATAGGATCACGATTGAGCTACAGTCCCATATGTACAAACACTCGATGAGATCAGAACACTATGAGAAGACCGGATCTCATGCGACGTACAACGAAAAGGCAAACAAAGACTAGGAGCGAAAAGGAAGTATCTAACAAATAGGCGCCGGAAACGTCACCTATAGTACACCACAAGCACGAGGTAGAAAAAAGGTAATGGATCAAATGCCATGCCCGGATCAGGAAAGAGGTGGGATAGTTAAGTAACAATAATGACGTGTCAGTTGTACGCCGTAACGGCGCTACGTTGCCGCACGATAAACCACCAGTCGCGCGTGGGCTGAGTATACCGCGAGAACGCCCACCTCTACACGGATTCGAACCAGCAACTTTGTGGTTGCAAGCCAGAGGTGCAGACCACTCGGCCACCGGCCGACTGCGGTAGCTGGGTCAGAGGACCGTGCACCCCGCTCCCCACCCCAGCATTGATTCATAGTCTCCTGGAGCCGGTAATCGAGATGGAGGGTGTTAGATAGGTAGGCACTTTGTCAGCGTTCACATCAGGCGCAGACACACAGGAGATTTCAAACAACCAACATATGATGTGAAGGAAAATAAACACACAAATTTGACATGGAATATGCAGAAGAATAACGCGACTGAGCAAATCAAAGAAACTGGAATACGTTTCACGTAGGTTAAAAAGATTTAATTTAAGTGTAAGTTGGTGAAGCCCAACTGCGGTGAAAAAGATAATGTGTGCACCACTAAACTCAAGCTGAGACACGTTATGAATACGAAAGAACAGGAAACAAAATAAAGACGTAAACTGGACAGTAAACATGCGACAGAATGACAGATATGAACAAACCAAAAAGGTGGTATGAATTTTGATCAACTGTTAGGGTGATCTTGGGCGGTGGTTGGGTCCCAGGAAGATATACCTGCTGCTAATAAGGTCTGGTGAATAAGCGACCAGTGGACCTCTACTGTGTTAAGAGAGCGTTTACTCAGCCCGGATATTAGCGTATGTTGATCCGCATTTAGGACATGTAGCTTCGCCAGCTGGTATGTATGTATGCGCTCAGCGACGCCGCATGCGCCGACCGAAGCGAACTGTAAGATCGGCACAAACGAGTGCGTGGTCAGTGTCCATGTTCGTGCTCCAAATTGAGCGACAGTTTTGACACAGCCATTCCAGCGTTATCGGATCGCGATGTGGTCAATTTACGTCATGGCTGGTTTGAGGTGGATGGGCGTTATGTCACCATCCTGCTGATGTGTCGGAAGTTGGTGTTCGCGAGAAATTACAGGAGCATCTTTAGATAGGTGTAGCAACCGCCCACGGTTTTCACTACGCGAGCCTACGCCGTGCTGGCCGCCCAGATAAA